CTTTTTGATGTCAAGTGCAAATGATTTTGCAGTACTCTGGCTTGCTTTCTCTGGATGTGCAAGGTCAAATGGGGTGCTTAATGCAGGGTATATCGGTTTCCAGACCATGCATCGAGCTTATGATGTTGTATTTCTTCAAAAGAGAGCATTTGTAAGTTTATAGTAATTAATATCAGGTTTGAAATCTCCGCTCGATTTCTACATCTCCTGTACAAATTTATCATCTCCAGGCTTGAAATTTATCATCTCCGGGTTTATCATCTCCAGGTATGAAGATGATGTTGTTTCTATTGCTAATCTCAGTTGTTGGTTCAGATCTGATGGTTGATGATGGCTCAGGGGTTAAAATATCCCCAGTGGTGAGATGGGTTTCCACAGCTCTTGGTTCAACTGACTTGCTTGGTTTGCCTTCAAGTTTTGCTTCATTCGATTATTTTTGTTATTGGTTCCGTGTTTTGCTAAACTGTTTTTTTGTCTCACTGGCAAATTTGCTGCATGGTTGCTTATATGCTGAAAGGGTTTGGTGGATAGAGATTTTTCAACTGATAAATGTGCTGCAACATCATATAAGATGAAGTCATGGTTTTCAAGCTGCAGGATCTGATGAATTTGCATATTGTTGGTTTGAAGTTAGTGGATGTGATTGTTGTCATTGGATATATTGTTGTCATTTTCACTTTAAAAATTGAAATGAGATGTGGGTAATGATTATGGAGCCTTGGATAGTTAAAAACAATATGTATCTTCATGTCTTTTACTCAAAAAGAAGTTGTCTTGGAATGGAAATGCTTGACTTTATGCTATACTATGTTAATAATKGTGTTTGTCATGGATTTTTTTTTCGTTCAAATGTATGATCTTTGGAATAAATGAGAGCAAGACAGTCAAGAACAACTTGAGATAAAAAAAACATTATATATATATATATATATATAAATGAGAGCAAGACAGTCAAGAACAACTTGAGATAAAAAAAACATTATATATATATATATATATATATATATACAGAGGATTTATGTATTTTTAAAAAAATTATTTTTTAATTTTTTACAAATTTGCGACGGATTAGAGAGGGAAAATCCGTCGCTGAAAGTGCTTGAAATTCCCTCGCAAATCCGTCGCTGAAAGTTCCCTCACAAATCCGTCGCTGATCCGTCGCTAAAGACTACCATCGCTGATCCGTCGCTGAAAGTGTCCGTCGCAAATCCATCGCTGATTTCCGTCGCTGATAGCATTACCTACGACTGTTTGACCGACGGAGTATCAGCGACGGATCAGCGACGGATCAGCGACGGAAATCACTTTCAGCGACGGATCAGCGAGGGAATTTTCCCACGCTGATACTCTGCATTTTTGTAGTGGTATTTGTGAAGTGTTGCGTGTGTGTGATGTTCATTAGGTTCACAAATCCAAACTTGTATGTTTTTTTGTGAAGTGTTGTGTGTTTGTAATGTTCATTAGGTTCACAAATCCAAACTTGTATGCATTTCGCCAAAATCATCCATCGTTTTGATGAATATTATGAACCAGATTTTTCGTTAATAATATACACTATTGATCGTATAGATTGGCAGTTTCGTAGTTGATTGGAGATTATGAAATCGTCTGAATAATATAGGTTCACGATGTGATGCGATTTTTTTTTACAAAATTACCTTTTGAACAGTTGTTCATAGACATCTCATTTAATACATTAATTAAATGATTATTTTTGTAGACTCATTTAATAAGGACCGTTGGATGAGAAAACGAACGATCAAGATCGGTTAACATAGTTTGCACAATAGTTTGGTTAGTATTTGAACCAGCCCCTATATATATATATATATATATATATATATAGGCACGTTCAAATGAAAACCGTGCATTTCTAAGAAACCGTGTAAACTAATTTCGACCAATAGAAAAATTCTATTTTTTTCTAATTAAATTTAATCAATAAGAGTATTTCGGTCATTTACAATATTTTCTATTAAATATGAAAATTATTAATAAATTTTAATTAAGAAAACGTAATAAAGAAATTTTTATAAATGGTAATATTTAAATATTTAATTATATTATAATATTAAAAATTTGAACTTGATATATTGTGATGCGATAAAATCTGCTGGTAAATCTTGAAGATTGTAAGGCATAATAGAATATATTCATCAAATCAGGATTGAAATAAAAAAAATTAATGTACATGAAATAAGTTTCATTAAGGTGAAACCGGTTCATGTCGTAATTGAATAATGAGTAGTGAACTGGTTTCATGGTGAACCTCGTTTCATTGATGGTGTAGTTGATTCATTTAGTAGATGAAATGAAAAATAAAACGGGTGCATAATGTATTTGGTTCGTCATGAAATAATTGCATAATGAAACGGGTACATGATGAATCTGCTCCAGAATCTTGAAAACTGTAAGGCTTAAAGGACTGAATTCATCAAATCACGAGTGAAATAAGAAAATTAATTTACATGAAACAGGTTTCATGAAGGTGAAACTGGTTCATGGCATAATTGAACAATGAGTAGTGAAACGGGTGCATAATGTTTTTGGTTCGTCATGAAATAATTGCATGATAAAACGAGTACATGATGAATCTGCACCAAAATCTTGAAGATTGTAATCTGCTCCGGAATATTGAAGATTGTAAGGCTTAAATGAATGAATTCATCAAATCAGGAGTGAAATAAAAAAAATTAATGTACATGAAACATGTTTCATGAAGGTGAAACTGGTTCATGGGATGTTAGATAATATGTATTTTATTTACAATTTTGCCTTTATTGCTGATAAAAATAAATTTTTAATATATATCTTTTTTAATTTTCTAAAATAAACTAAACTAAACTTGGCCATCGATCAAGAAAATGAATGAATGAGATTGGTTTACACGGTTTACACAAATGG